AAAAAACTAGACTGTAAGAGAATTAAGCTTCTTCCCTACGCAGATGAAAGGAATTTGAACAGCTACAATAACCAAGGAACAGCAGTAACTGCTGGAAAAACTGGTTTATTGAAGTTAAACTTGGAGATTTACTTTTTTTAACTTGAGCTCTCCAGAATTTGAAGCAGAACCATGCTGACCCACAGAGTCATTCATTGCACTCCTCATTAATGACTCAGGATTTAAGATGATTCTCTATTCTGGATAAAGGAACTATCTCCTGAGTACTGGCTCTAAAGTGGGGTAAACTGCCATTCCTGGACAAGGCAAGGATTGAGGCTGATGATGTACACGGTCATTTCCCCACTGCCACCTGCTTTCAGTGACAGCCATCAAATCCAAACTCCAACAGTACTGTTCTAGCAGGGACTTCCATCCTGTGAGGAGCCCTAAGAAACAGCAGTCCTGAGAAGCTGACTTAGAAACTCCACTTCTGGGAAATATGTCAGTGTTGAGGGGAAAGGCATGGTAGGAATATCTGCAGGATTTGGGAGTGGGCCCTGCTCACAAAGAAAAAACTGAAAAAAGTCACCTGGGATTCCTCTCTCTTTATTCAAAAAAAAGACCAGGGAACTCTAAAGAAAAAATTTCCTTATGTACATTTAAGCTTGCTACAACAGAATGAGCAATGCTTGCTGTTGAATCTGACTACTCAAAGCAGGAAATTACCATTCAGGACTGGGCTGAAGATCTAATCCCATCTATTATGCCAGAAGAAAAGGGTATAACCAATTACTTTTTTTCCTACTGCTGTTTGTACCTCCTTTCTTAGGCCATCAGCACTCTGATAAAGTGCATATCCTCCTTTTAATAGAAACACAACCTGCAGTGTGTAACACGCTCCACTGGCAGCGTTTCCTTACAAAAAAACCCCATTAAAGTGCTCAGTAGGTATTGAGAGCCTAATTCCCAGAGCACTGCTCCCATTAACCCTGTTTGCTGGAGCCTTCTTTGATGTCGTAATGCTGACTGTCAATAGATCAGAATTCTTCAGGCAGTGCAGTTCTGGCACAGTTTTTGCTCAGAGCAAGATCATGCCCTGTGTTGGAAATGGATGTTTACTTCGATCTGTGATGAGTTTACACCTGCAAAGGCTCATCCCGAACCACGAAACTGGGAAAAAATCCATTCTCTGGGATGGTACAGCCACATCCAACCTTGCACATCTGGCCACTGCAAGCTTCAGCTGCACTGGCAGTGACCTGTTACTACCTAGATTTTAATTGCATAAGAAGTGCCATTTATTAAAAAAATACACAGTGACAGGAACTGTTTCTTTGGAAAACAAAAATTCCTTATGAAAATGGGGTCAACAATAGATAATAGTTGGGTTTTTAGATACTATTTACCATCTTGTCTGTGAGGACTGTGAGATAAGGCTAAACTATACTCAAAAGGCAGAGAAAATAATTTTCTTCTTTGCTTTTAAAAGGTCATTATTTTCTGAAACGGATCAGGACACCTTAATTCATCAAGGAGGTAATTAAAAAACATATGACATAACACATCACTGTTATTGCCCCCACACTGATTACATTCTTCATTTCAGATTTCTGATTAAATTCTCTGATTTTTTTTTCAGCTATATTAAACAGTGATCCCTACAAACCTCTTTGAGCCAATAATACAAAGAAGAAACACCCACATAAGAAATAAGAGCTCTTGTGTAGCTCTGTGTTAACATTCACTCTGGAACTGTACAAACAAAATTGAGATGTTACCACAAAATAATTTCTTCAAAACTCTACTTTTTTCCATGTAAAAAGAACCCTCTAGAATCAATAAAGATTTCTCTTAAAAAAATTAAAATCAATGGCACAATTTAGTGAAAAGCAAACTTTTCAAATAATTTAAGTGACTAAATTGCAGCTACAAAAATAAAATCACAAGTATTTTATTTATTTCGCTGCTAGCACTTTTATACAGAAAATGCTAATTTTTAGTTGATTTTTTTCCCCCATAAATCTATCCAATCCCAACAGGAAATTGTAAGTTCAATTACCTCTGCAGCCACTGTGTTTTTCAAGTGATTAACTTTAATCGAGTTTGGTTCCCAGTCATTTGATGTGAAATCCACTCGTATCAACTGGGATCTTTCTGTCTGGGATCAACAGCCAGCAGGAATCTCCTGAAATTCAACCCAGGGAACTGCAAAGTCCTTTACTGGGGGAAGAACATCCCAACTCCTCCCAGTGGCAGCCAGTAAAAGGAGAGGAGACAAACACTGAACCACAGGAAATGGCATTTAAACACAAGAAACAACTGGACCAGGTTTCCCTGTGAGACAGGCTGTGGAATCTCCATATTAAATTCCATTCAAAACTCAGCTGGACATTGCCCTCAGGAACCTCTTCCCACTGACCCTGCTTGGAGCAGCAGCTGGAAATGCAGGGTTTCCAGAGGCATCTCCATCTACAGTTCTGCCAATCAAACCATAAGCTGATACAAACTAGTCTAGGGTAAACTAAACTCTCACCAAGCCAGTGTTTTATCTTCAGTACAAAGGTACCAAAACCAGCTTCATGCAGCTTCCTCTAATCTAAGGCAGCAATCCCTTCACTGCAAAAATACAGCTTAAAATAGTCCTGACCAACTCAGAAATTAACACATTTAAAAATAGTCACTAAATAAAGCCGAAGCCAAGACTGGCAATTGCGATCTGTGTGCGAATGTTTTGAGAGGAATAAGAGCCTAAAGGGTGTCTTATCATGATAAATGAATCACTTCCCCTAAGACAGCAAACAGGGTCAAGAATTTGGCATTTCATTCACACGGGATTTTCGGTGTTTCTAAATAAAAATGTTGTGCTACTATTATTTACCCACAGTTGCTTGTACAAGGACTTCATTACTACAGATATGGCAGATAGAAGACATCTGCCTGTCTAGGAGTTTGGTTTTTCTTTTAACCTAAACAGCCCATTTTACTGAACAATATTTGAACCAAGCCTGTATTGCTGAGTTGCTACATTTTTTCTAAAAAAACTTCAGGAGAGAAGCCACTCAGAGACTGTTTACATGGTAAGCAGATCAGAAAACAACACTGTGGCGTTTGCAGCCCTGGCAAATCTATATTTACATCAGAATGGTCTCTCCCTCGCTGAGCTGAGGTATGAAACAGGTCTCTGGATACACCCTTCCTCTGTTCACAAGGTGGTGTCTAGTTCTTTTAATTTTTTGTCTCCTTACTGTGCTAGAAACACGTGAACATAAACAACTATTTAAGGTTTGATCTAACCATGACAATGTCCTGGTTTTGGCAATAAGTCAAGACTCATTCACTAGACTATAACATAAACACACAGTACTTTAGCAGAACATTTTTGCTTGCTGTTGGTGGTCTGTCCCCATTTATGCAGGTGAAATGCAGGTCAAAGTTTCAGTTAAAATGAGACAGATCAGGTCTTTGCTCCTCTGAGCTAGAGCTCTGCACCCAAAACCTGGTGTCACCAACGTGGAAAGATGATCTGGGTTCATAACCTAAGCCAAAATCATCCCAGTTAAAAGCTTAGGGAACTGCAGCTGGCACCAAAACAGGAGTGCTCCACACACTTTTCTCATTTGTATTTTGTGCACTCCTTGGCATGGGGAGATGAAAATGGCCCTTGACTGAAGCTTCTGACCTCGCTTTAGGAGCTGCCCCGGCAGCTTTTACTTGGGATTTATTTTCCTCCTGTGTTCAAGCAGGAAATGCCAAACTGTAGTGGGCTACTTGTAACCATCATTCCAAGAGAGGGATTACAGTTTATGTCAACTCTCATCCTCCCCATTACATTCCTGCACTCATGAAAATAGGAAAAGAAAAATAAAATAAAAATCACTCAAACAGTAACAGAAACAAACAAACAAAAAATATTTGTTGATGCTGTTTCGTGAATTCCACCACACACAGAGAAAAGGTGACAAATCTGAAGAACCAAACTCCTTCACTTTATGGAGTAGCAATCTTATGCTGAAGGGAGGAGAAAGGAGCCATGGAAAAATTCTGGAGTGAGTTTCTGATGGGAAAGTTTACAAGTACCTACATGTTAAGAAGACAGGAAGGACAGCTTTTTAAAACTGAGATAAGAAAATGCAGAATTATGGAAAAATTTACAAACATGAACTATTATATCCCAAACACCCTCATTGCCTCATAGGTCCAGGAAGGTAGTATAATTGTATGCTTTCCATCATATTTTTTTTTGCTTTTCAACCTTTAATCCAGTGGGGATGAGGAAATAGGAAGAAATTAAACATATGATCACAAATCTAAGCTATTCTTGATAATACTGACAATCCTGGTTATCTAAATAATTTTGCTGCACGGAAGGAGCAGGGGTTAGCATTGTGAGACTGTCAAATTAAAGATAAATTAAAGGTTTCCTTCTCCATTATGAGACTCAAATACATGTGGATTTTAAGGCTTGTCAGAGACTTAGGTATTATATTGAAGGCAGACTACAAACAGAAAAACACTGTTTGTTTTAAACAGTAACTGATATTGTCTCTTTAATGTAATCAAAGCTGACAAACAAAATTTGAGACAGCTAAGTTGGATTGTGGTTTAGAACTATAGAGCTAATACACAAACATTTATTACTCTCTTATCCATTTCTAGCACTCAAACAAGAAAAAGGAGGCAAGATTAACTCACAACAATTTCCTTCATCTCATTACCCAACTTGTTTCTAACACAGTTCTGCACAATTAGGCAATTTGAAGTTACTACTTTGAAAAAAGATCAGAAAAACAAATTCCATAGGTACTGGTACTCAACTGGCAGTTCTCAGCAACAGAACCCCAGAAGGCAACAAACAATCCCGGCCAAAGAACCCAAACAAGCTCACAGTAATCAAGTTATTTTACTGATGAAAAACCACCTCAAAGCCAAAAGAATTGACAAGTGACTGTACTGTCCTACTTCATACTCCAGTGGAATATAACAAAATAAATAGAGGCACTGTATTTAAATGAACTTACAGGAAGAGTGGATACTGGGAAAGCTTTTTCTGCCTTCAGACACCAGATCTGGATCACCTGTGCAGTGCATTTCAGAGTTCATTACTCCATCTGGAAAGCAGCGGTAAAAGAAATCGGGACGCGGTCTACAAAAAACACCATGGATATTAAAAATATAAAAGCTGTAGTACCAGATAAACCTCAAAGTGATTATTACATTTACTGTTCATTACACACACAGAGCTCATTCCCTTCAGCTTTAACAGAGCAACAGAAGTCACGGAGTCATTTGGGTTGGAAAAGACCCTTAAGACTCCAACAGCAGAGCTAACCCTGCCAAATCCACCTCTAAACCGTGCCTGTCAATGCAAGGCCACATTTTTTGCAGGCAGGGAAGCTTCCAGCACAGCATGAGAGTGGGAACTGTCTCTAAAAGCACACATACAGGGTTATTCTTGCACCTCAGTGACAGAGCAAGGCAAGGTCATGACCCACAAATTTTCCCAAGTCTTGCCAATACACCCAGGATACAACTTAGGCTACAAGGCTGGCACCAAAACAACCACCAAATTCTAATGCCAGCCTTGGTGCTGACTGTCTAAGTGCATTAAACAGACCTCTGAGTTTCTTGTGACCCAGCCCTGAGCTGGCTTGGCTGGTGTCATCCTGACCCTGAGCTAATGAAGCCCCCAGAGAAGCAAGGGGAAGGATCACAGGTTCAGAGACAAGATGAGAGAGCCTCCAGCTGGCTTGGAGTGCAGGCAAAATTCTGAATTATTTCAAAAACATTCTTATAATAAAAGTACCAAATACCATTACTGAAAGGGCATCAGTACCAAAGGTTCTGAGGGTTCATCAGAAACCAAATACTGCTCCCTCAATGCTGCAAAAGAGGTCAACAACCAAAGCAGCATTGGGCTCTATTAAATAGGCTATAAATTGAAGTAAAATATGTATTTTTCAGCTGAAATTATTCAAAGTTTTGATAAACAGCCAAAAAATACCTAAATAAAATACTTTTCAGGGAGTTTTGTTTGCTATATTTTTCTGAACCCTTCCTTCAAATTTATGCTTAAAAAAAAAATTGCCCTGCCTAGGAGTTCATTTATTGCCTAAGTCCAAGGTTTGCTCTGCCATGGGTGTGGGTGTCTCCTGGAAACACAGCACTCAGTAATGTGCTGCTCACAGAATGCAGGCACTGGGTTATACAGAGTTTCCCACTTAATCAGACCAGGGGCACTGAACTCCCCCACGCTGCGACTCTTCCCGTCTGTGCTGCCAATTTAACGAAGCCATTTCAGCTCACACCGCTCCTCTCAGACCCCTCACTTGTCTGGATCTGCCAGCTCCTCCAACAAATAACAAAGCACAAGGGCAGAGATTCCTGCCCCAGTGGGATGCCACATAATGAAGTTGTCCAACACCTGCACCAGGCAAAAACAACTTCTCCGGGGCCTGTTCTGTCTCCACGAGCTTTGCAACAGCAGCCATCTATTTACTGAGATGTATTGCAGCTGTCAATCTGTCTCCATTTATCTTAATATTTAAAGCTATCATTTAGAACATGACAAGACTTACCTTCCCACTATTAATTTAATTGTGTTTGTGCAGACACCATTCAGAGCTAGAGCCAGGGAAACAGCTACAAAACAGAATGAACAAACAGAACAATAACAACCTAAATACCAAGCAGTAAATTGCAGCATTACAGCATTTCATTCCCAGAGTGAAACCTTTACTGGACTGAAAACTGGATGATCTTTGCAGCCTTCTGTTTTCCTGACTACCCAGACTAAAAACAGACCCCAAAGCATCACAATAATCATGACTTACTTTGTTCTGCTTTTCCTCTTGAGAAATCTTATTTCCCTAAACAAAGCCAGCTTTCCTGTCATGCCATTTGCACAGGCATAAATCATCAAATGGGAAAAAATCAGAGAATGAAGCACTGTGGGTTAGAAATTTTCTAGTTTTGTAATTTACTAGATTTACTACAGTCCAATTTCAAGCTAAAGAATTGCCTTATGGCTAAAACTACAGTTGGATGGCTTTTTTATTTTCCTTGCAAAAGGATGTGGATGTTTGGAATAAAAACCTCAATGTTTTCCCCTTACATTTTGCTCCCAGGGTTAACCAATTTTTCTAATAAAATTGGGAGTAATAAACAGGGACCTACCTACTAGGTAGGACTGAATCATCTTTTTTAATTTGTAGTTGCATGCCAAGTCCCTAGACTTTGTGAAGAACCTCATCTCAAGCCTGTGGAGATCTCTGCCTTGATTCCAGGGGCACTTGGATCTAACATAAAGACTCCTTTTGGGTTAAAACTGGTTTAATTCTGCAGTCCACACCGTAGCTCTCTGTTACAAAACAAGAGCCACTGAATTTTATCTCCCATTAGAAAGAAGTTATCAGGTAAATCTCTGATTTCCAGGAGAACATTTACAGTAATATAACTGTTGATTCTGACAGCTCCATGAGCTATGTCCTCGTTGGGCTGCTGCCCCAGATGCTGCACTTCAGCAGCACTCACCCAGAAAACCTTTGCCTGAGGATGCTATAAATCATAAAAATGTGTGTTATAGGATCTATTTTTAAAGTTAAAAAAAAAAAAAAGGTAGGTCCTTCATCAAAGGAAAAATAAGGGTTTTCTCAGATTATAGCAATAGCTGCCAGCAAAAATAAAAGAACAACACAATCCTAGAGACACTCGTCTTGTCAAAAAAAGTCTTCCTCTTTCAGCCTCTGTTCACAGTGACCACTCAATTCCATGCTCTTTTTTGCCCCCCTCAGTTGTTTTGTCTCAGTTTTAGATGGTAATTGCATGGGGAAATTTTCCACGAAGCCAAATGCATATGACCAGCAAGGTCACAGCACTAAATTCCCCTTTTTAAAACGTATTTTGGAAGACAAGCAGTATAATTTACTCTTTTTGTTGAGCTTTGTCTTGATTGTTCATTGTACACCTGACAGAACCACACTTTCACTGCTGCATACTCCTTACAATGACAATCGAGGGATCAGATGACAGTGTGACTGTCAAGGTGATAAATTCCATTTGTTCTCATTTTGTTCCCTTCAGGAAATATTCCTATTGCCCACTGAAACTTGTATAATCCAGCCAGTAAGAGATTCAGGCACTTCCAGGGGAAGGCTGAAGGGCATCTACATGCAGGAATTTAACTCCTCCTCCCCCTGGGTGCACTGAACCCCCCTCTTTGTATTAATGGTTGCATGAGGGGCAAAGAATTTTCACATGCTTTTAACTTTTTCCTTTCTTCTACGTGTCACACCCAGAGAAATTCCTTTGGGGGGAACTTCCTGATCACTCATTATGAACATTATGTGCCACCACCAGGCACATTAATATTAATTAAGGACTCATATTCATGTGGAGTGCACTTGAACAGAAATCAGCCATGAGAAGTTCCACACTTATGGCATAAACTGAACACAACATCAAGGCTGGTGTTTCCTCAGAGTCTGTGTAGCAAGAGGAATACTGGGGAAGCTGGGGAGTTTTCTCCTAGGCATTATAGAGGGTATCAGAACAGAAGGCAAAACAGCAGGAAAAAAAAAAGTGGTTTTCAGAACAAAAAGGTGAGAATAAGTGATGGAGAAATCACCCTAAGGTCCCTTCATTCTTATTACACAAGGGAAAGTGAAGCTCAGAACTGTGACTGTATGCATTTAATGAATGGTTTTTTCTACTGAAGGGACTTGTCAGTGAAATATCACTGTGAGACACTTCAGAACTTACTGCAAATGACTGGCAGCAGCCAAAACAAAGCTAGGATCATTTCACACTTGTGCTAGAGCAGCTGGAGAAAGAAGGAGCTAAGGGAAGGCAGCCTTACGTAGAAAGATTATTTTCACAGGCAGATACATAATGCCATTTACATCCTATCTAGCTAAGGCAAGGCTGAGTGTTGCTTTGGGTTTACTATGTAAGGGCCAATAAATTAAAGTGTAAATTGGCCAGTAAAAACAGAATTTCGGAATTATGCATATTTCAAACGTAATGCCAACAAAAACATTGGCAGCTCTTAGTGCTTCAAAGTATCTTCAGGCAGTGGAAGTGCTTTAGTCAACACTGGTCTCTGGCAATATCTATGTAAAAAGGATCTGGGCATGTATCACTGCAAGATTTCAAGAGATAGGCAGAGGCAGAATTAGCTGGAACAGCTTAACACTTACCCTCCCCACTGCTTACCTGTTCAGTGCTCAAATTTTCTGCCCACAGCTGTAATTAGACCTCACCCAAAACACTGCAGTTCACAGTCCAGGATAAAGAACATACCTAATTCCATGGGTAGTTTAAGATGAGACATCAGCTGTTAATTAGAAACGCTGAGCCAAGATCACGGATTTTGCAATGGGTAACAGTAAATTCACTGGGAAGCTCAGAGAAAACAATGAGAGGAGCAATTTCCTACATTAAACAGCTGACTCCCACAGGACTTTCCAGGCAAACCCTTAATTTACAAGAGCTGCAAGTATAAATAAGAGGTAAGTAATAGATGGGGTGTGACAGAAAAATATGCATCTGAACAGTCTCTCAGATGGACTTGTCTTTGCTGATCAAACTCCAGCCCTTGCTAGCTGTATCGTGGAATTAAGGCACAGAATTTGGATTGTGGAATTAAGGCACAGAATTTGTACATCTACAAACATACCCAAAACCAACGGCTTTTGTGAGCTGGCTTGTAACTATAACTGCTCAGAAAACTGCTGTAATGGGCTGGAACAGAGACAGGTTTTCTTCAAGGCTTGGACCACAGTTGGCATCAATCTCCAAGAGCTATCCCACATTTGCCATCTTTGAAGTGTGACATACATTACCTAAGAAAGCCTCTTTAATTTCAGTCTTGTCTGTTCGACGGATTATTTTCACCACAAAGATGACTGCGAGTGGGGTGAGGAACGAAATTGCCTGTAAGAGATAACAAACACCACGTGTGAGAGCATCAATGCCCTGTCAGCCCAGCTGATTAATAATTAGCTTCAGTTAGCTCCACTTTTAAACTGGGGAGGCCGAGTGATCTTTATCCAGCTCCTGACCTTCAGTAAAATGGGATGATTTGTCTTTGCAACCACAAGAGCAACGAACACATTAAAATTCTAATATAGCCGGGGGTTATAATTGACTTGTAATTGCCTAGAGCTGGGTTAAAAATGTCAGCTGCTCAAATGAGAAAGTAACACTCTATAAGGCCCACAAAATTCATACACAGACCTGGTACACTTTTTCCAGCCTGAGCACTGCTTTGGGAGGCAGCCCATGCAGGCTGTGTGCTCAACCAGACCCAACTCAACATACCAGACTTCAGCACCAACTTCCTAGCATTTTAAAGTGCTCTTTATCTTACTTTTTGTTTTCTTTTTCTTGAATGCATCAGGAAGGTCGTGTCTTTGTGATTCTTTTGTTCACAAGTGCTGGATGTGGAGCAAACTGCTTGACTTTGTTCAAAAGCAGAAAAACAACACCTGAGCACCTACGAGCACAGTCACTGGTTAAGCAGAACCTTATTCTTTTATTGTCAGTGCTGTAGGACAGGATTCCTCCTACAAGGAACCTGAGATGGCATCAGTGCATCCTGGTTTCCAGGAACAGCACCTCTATTATCACAGAGCAGCCTGGACTGTGATGATTCACTGTAAATGTGAGCCAAAAGTCATCTTGGTGCAGTGTCTGCATGCTGCAGTCTGGCCTCCCAGAGCAGGTATTTACTGTCTTTCTCCAGAGACATAGCAGTTTGTCCCAAGCTCAGTACCAGGGAGTTTTCCATTACCAGCTTGCCATGGGAACTAGGATTTTGTTCCCAACTGGTCCTTCCATCGTCCCTTCTGGCTCAGACTTTCAGCTGCAGAGGTTAAAGGCAACTTGTATTTGTGCTTCTTGCTGGCTCCAGCCTAAATTGACTGATTCCTTTCTTGACCCTACAAACCTCTTCACAACCACACCTGTTCAAAAACAAATCCAAGTCTTTCAAAAGCATTTATTCTCTTAAAGAAGATGGGAATGACTGTTTTCAAGTTTACTGGTTGGTTTGTTTTTTAAAACAAGGTCAAAATTAAGCTGTAAATGGCACATGGGGTGCCAGGGCTTATTAAGATTCTGTTATTTTTATTGAGGCTGAACACTGCCTTAGTTCTTAAAGAGCCCCCACTGAAATAAAAAACAGAGAGGACAGATATGACAAAAGAGGTGTGACTCAATCTTCATAACACAGATTAATCCCAGCCCTCATTTTATGAGGACTTCTAGAATATCTGAGTAGGAAACAACATGAGAGGGCACTACATTTGCTATTTTGGCTGTGCATCTTGCACCAGCTGCCCCTCACCTATATCAGCAAAATATTATCTAACCCTGTGAGCCACACAGATTAAAACACAGCCTGGAGTCTGTTCCCCTTATCTACATTTAGAAAGGCAGGCACCAAGTTTTGTGCAAAAAGATGCACCATTTCTACTTAAAATTCCCTTCTGCCTACGGTGTGTGTGAGATTCAGGTTCAGAGGCCAATGCTGTGTTACTGCTCCAGAAACATTCACTTCTCTCTATCCTCAGCAATTTAATTAATTTAATTTCTGCTTTCAGAGACAGAGAGTGAAATATAAAAAAAAAAGTGAAAGCAAAACCTGGAATTACTAATTTCGTTCTAAAAAGTAAGGATTGCCATCAGGAAAGAAAAGGAGAAAGGTATCTGCTGAAAGATATCTGTTGAAAAACATGTAGAAATACAGCCAAGGCTGACAGGCTGAGAGTGGTGGTTTAATGGAGTTAGAAATCTTCTGAACATGCAGGAGCAGCAGCAAATATCAGCAAAGAACAGCATTCAAGTGGCAGCTTGTTCCAAACCACTTCCCAGTCAATCTTCAGGCATCTGGTAAAGCTGCAGATTTCCTCATATTTCACAGACGTGAATTTTCGAGAGAAATGAACCCTATTCATGTTTGCAGCACATTACTGGTCCTTACACAAAAGCAGTGCCTGGAAGGTGCTTTTTATTCTGCAGCAAAATGCACATACCAAGAAATCCTGGCTTGCTAAAGCCTCCTTTTTATTTATTTATTTTGCAGAAAGATTCTGAATGGCTCATCCCTACCACAGATTTGGCAACATCCTAATGAGCAACGCTCTCCTCAGCTGCATTTCAGCAGCGTGTTCTTTTCCAGCAGTGAAATGTTCCAACATTGCCTGGCTTTTGTGAAACATGGGCAAAAAAAATCTCTCTCATCCATTATAAATCCTGGCAAGTCAGAGATATGCTGGAGTTACAGGGACTCCCACACCCTTCCAGGCATTCGAGGGAAGCTGGCAGTGCCTTCCACTTTCCAAGACAAGGGATATCCACTGCTAGACAGCACGAGGCTCAGGTCTATCCATCCCTGGCTACCCCAGGCAGAAATCAGCGTTGTCTCATCTGGATTTGGGTTTGGAGTATTCCCAGCATTTCTCCTCAGTTCAAATCTCTCACCATATAAATTAATCCTGCAGTTCCCAGCCATTGCTTTCTGGTGAGCCACAGCCATACATTTCAATATCTGAGGACACCACTAGTGGCAAGAAATTCTCTAGATAATGAAAGCTTGTGATCAATGCTTTTGATTTTTCTTCTTTTTAATTACATAAATTAGAAAAAAAATAATCTAGAAATTATCTCCATTTCTTAATTTCAGAAGCTGTTCACTGAGGTACTGACATGTTTGAAGCCTGAGAACAGAACACAGACCATGCAAAAGTTACTGACAGAGCTGCCTGGAAGTTCCACCCACCATGAAGTTTATAAAAGCTGGCTATGGGAAGTGCTCAACAGGGAAATGTATTACAGTTATATCCCAAAATTGTGCTTGCTGGTGGCTACTGCCTGGAGAACAAGAGGATGGACTAATGATTATCACAACTGGTTTGAAAAATAGTTCCACCATTTGCAGCAAACCCTGTACAATGATTCACTATTGGATCAGAGAAATCACGTGGCAAAGTAATGCTCAGCACAAGGAAAAACAGCAGAATTCAATTCAGCCTTTCCTAGCACAACAATTAAATGTTTGGTTTGGGGGTTGGTTTTGCTTGTTTGTTTTTCATTTGTTTGTTGTTTTTTTTTTACACAGCTATCTTCCACTTCATGAAAACCATATATTTTCATTCATGCAGGCTGAAAAAGTCCATAATAGAGCTGCTTCTTAATTCAGTACAAACAACATGTTGGCAAATTTAAAACCAGGCCTTCAGCCTCTGCCTTAGAAGGCTGGGATATTGGGCACCTCATAAACAGGAAGAACCTTCGAGTTATTCCTTAATTAATTAAATTTTTTTCATAACTGAAGGCCTAAGCCTTAAAAAAAAAAAAGAGAGAGAGAGAGAGAGAAATTATATAGCTGATTTGCATTTATTCCAGTCTGAAAAGTAAAATCTTGGCTTCACTGAAGACTCAAGGAAATGGTGAGGGAACCAGGATTTGATGCCACCTGCCATGCCCATTCCTGAAAAATCTCCACAAAGTTTTTGCCTTTGGGAAGGAAAAAAGACTCTTTGGAGTCAAGTATCTCAGTGTCTAACACGCCTAAACCAAACTGGATTGCAGAATTTAAGCACTTAACCTAATAAAAGCATGGCGAGGTTTTGTCAGGTCACCCAACCAGCTAATTGAAAGAGCCTCTCCACTCATTTCTCTAGCACTCCTCTAAGCTAAAACTACCTTAAATCTACTGAAAAATCAACATTTATAAATTCAGCCACCTGCTAATGCCGCTTTTTACAAACTCCCCGTGATTCGCCACATTTTGTCATTTTGGACATCCCTGGTTGGGAAAACCTTTGTCTTTAGAGATAAAGGAACATCCTCCACTTCCAAAAGATTTCCTAGTGCTTAACAAAGGAAAGTGTACTTAGCTTACAGCCACCAAACGACCAACGAGCCTTCGGTACTTACAAACATGAGACGTGTAGGGATGTTGTCTGACTGCACCAAGGGATTTTTATACAGCCAGATCTCTTCTGGCTGGATCACCCGCTGGAATGGATCCAAAAATTCTGTAAAACTGAAAACAACAAGGAAAGATACGAGTTTTTCACGCTTGGAAATTATGACACCCCCCCACAAAAAGAGTTCTGCTGATTTAAAACTTTCCCCAAAGTTAAATAGGTAGAATTGTCCTTATTATTACATTGCTATCCTACCTCATGGATTTTTAGTAATACAACCTTCACAAACACACCCTTCAGAAAATGGTTTTTAAAAGTCTACATTCCACACCTTTATAAAAGTTCCATAAACACTACTGTGGAGAATAAATTGCCTTCTTTGTTGCTTTTTTGTTTTTTTGCAGGAAAAGTGTGCAAATAATATTGTGGGATTAGATAAATCACGTAGCAGGTCTTTTACCCCGAAGAAATTTTATACCAGATATCAAATCCAAAATGTCTTTCAAATGCCAAGATTCAGACTCTGAAGCATGACTGTCTTATTTGCAGGATCACAAAGCAGGGAGAAAGAAGCAGCCCAGACAATTCCTTCTACTGATGGAGAGAACAGATAACTTTAAAACATATCTCCCAAAGAGACTTACTCCTAAAACAGGATGGGCTGTCAGGTTTAAGAAGAATCTAGCTATACCAGAAAAGTCTCATTCCACCAAAACGGACTCGTTTTGATTTCATTATTATGTCTTTTAGCTCTCTTACAAAGCACACAAAAAACCCCATCCAAACAAGCCAAAACCCCTCATGGTTTTATAATTTTATTATTTTGAAACGAAGAGCATGAAAATAAAATGTTGAGACTGCTCTATAGAAAGTAAATTATTTGTGTGGGCACCTTTCATCATGCACTGAAAGGGAAAGCAGGAATTGTGATCTTTGACTCTGCTAAGAAGACTCAAAAGCCTTTTATGGCTACATAATTTGTCTCACTTCTTTTAAACCACACTCCTTTTCCTGGTTCTTTCACTATTCTTTAAGTTTTTCTTTAAGTTTTCAGCCCCATCAGACTTGCTGGGAGGTTTGGCCTTGGCTTTGCATTGGTCACTTCAGGTCTGGTTTATTGGGACTCAGAGAAAGGCTGGTGAAAGCAGACACAGGGACCACTTTTCTGCAGGATAATAAGCCCAGCCAGAACACAGAAGTGCAGCAGCCCAAAGCTATTCTTAGTATAAATTTTCTGAAGCCCAAGGGCTTTAAAAACCTCTCCTGTACCAGGTTTTATACCGGTATCAGGCACATCAACTGGCTTTGCAAAGAGAAAAAGCTCAAAGCAGTTTTTAAAAGCGGAGTAAAATTAAACCATACTTATATATGCAACTCTCCCCAGTGAAGATGAGTCCTCAAATCCAGCTAGGTCAGCTATTTCCTAAAAAACAGCAAGTCTTACCCACTCCTCTGGGTACTGGGAAATCCTTCTTTTCATCCCTTCTGAGGGCTGACCTGCTGCTCTTTTTTTCCTGCTGTACTCTAAGATCTCTGCACCAGCTCCAGTCTCCCAGCCACACCACTGCCCATGGGGGTTGGAACTAGATCATCTTGAGAGGTCTAACTCAACATTTTCTGTGATTTTCTGACCCCCTTTACCTGAGGACAGTCAGACTCCCACCAGACAGAGTGTACCAAAAGAGCCCCAACCGGCCCCTTCCTCCTTTCCTTTCCTAAAGGAAAACAACAAAATCTGAGGACCAAACAAGTCAAGCAGAGTCTTGTCACTTGTAATAATAGTTGTTTTTCCTTCAGTGACCTACATGGACAACAAGATTATTCTGGAAGCTTAAGGAGTCTGGTATTGCAAGGAGAGTATTTGCTATTATACTCAGCTTCTTCAAATCCAGAGTCTGACCCTGCTCTCCAAAGAAGGTGCAGGGTGAGCTTCAGAAGTGTCAAAACACTTTGTTTCAGTGTTTCTCAAAAAGAAAACCTGAATTTTTTAAGTTTAAAACTTGAATGTTTCAAGTTTAAAAAACAATGGTTTGTGCAAGACATGAAAGTGTAAGACAGTTCTAAAGGACAGTTCCAGGAAATAAACCACTTCATGGATGAAAAGTTCATTTTACACTTCTCTCTTCAACCAGAAAAATAAAGGTCAAATCCTAGACCATGCAAGCAACTTTGGTTCTAAATTTAAACTGAGTCCTAAAGTATCTTATCTTTGGTTTCAGTCTTTAAAGATATTGATGGCAATATAGAGAAGCAATTAACTGCTGCTTGAAAGGGTTCACTTGCTGAGTAGGGTCACAGGCCTGGGCATGATGCACTGTCAGAAGATTTAATGCCTTTGAGAGCAAAATAACAGACTTGTTAATGAGATGAAACTATAATAAATAATATAAATAATATCTGATTTCAGTTGAGGACTGATTTTCTGATTAATATATACTCATCTGTACTCATGTAAAGAATTAGTAATTTCAACAAATCTATCAATGACATAATCATTATTATTATTTAACAGCAGCAGTTTTGTATCCACTACATATGGAGATCTGATTATGTATTCATTTATTTCTTTGACTTTTGTTCTGAATGTCTTCCAAGAACAGTGTTCAAATACGCTGAAACAAATGAAAAATGAACAAATTCCTGAAACTGGAAAAATAATTTCAAAATCACTACTGAAGGAGAAAAAAAAAATAGATGCAGAAGGCTGCAGATCTCTGTGTGAACAACACAGAAAGAGAAAGTAAACAGTTAAAAGAAAGTGGCTGTATAAAAAGACATCACTTTTTTTTTTTTTTAATCTTCTGAAAGAGCTCAACTGCTAATTAAATTTTTATGCCAAGACTCATAAGAGAACAATTCTTTTTTAAAGCATCACCAATGGGTGACTGGATATGAGATTTCAGCAGCTTGAAGGCAATTCCCTTGTGCTCTGTTAAACAGTCATGGGGACATACTGGTTTCTAAGCTGCCTGACACTTGGTGATTTATGTCCCTTCATCCCAACCAAAAGTACAGTTTATCACTACTCCTAAGCCAGCACTACCTTAAAAAAAACCCCTTACTTTGTATTAGTACATAAACATTTAGTCTTGGGTTTTTGGCCTGAGATTTTCTTCAGATTTAAATATTTGTCAACATTTTTAACAGCCTAACAAGTAAGACTTTGAACACTTCAGCCTGATGACATGATTTTTCAGGCATAAAAGGACTTCCATGCACTTCAAGAGCCTTTAACTGCGACTTTCAAAGGAACCCAAGGGAAAAAGGAGCCCTAATTCCATTAAAAACACCCCTGAGCAACAGGTGCCCAAGTCCCTGCGTTTGCTTCGGACATCCCAACATTCCTGCTCACACTTCCAAGGTTCATTAGCTTCATTTCCATTTAACAGCATGTAGCCCTTTAGGATCATTTCATTCAAGCACCACATCCACAGCCAGACCCAGGTAAAAGTGAACAGAAGTTTTGTGATAATATGGAGACTTATGATGTTTTGGGGGATTTTTATGAAACCCTTCCCTGGTAGTGAATGAATCAAACATTGCATAAATATCTTGACAGGGTTTTTGCCCTGAGCTTCCACGATGGTTTTCATCCCTCTGAAGCAGCAGCAGGGTATGTTTGGGGTATTGTTTAGCACCTCCCCTTAGTTTCAGATGCCACTGCCTGGCCCTCAGCAGCACAACCCTCAGATGGTTGGCAGGGGGAGAGTGGGAACTGGGGGTTTTGCCTCTTATTTTGTCTCTTGCAGACAAAGCTTTTCCCAAATAACGAGTGACAGTGACTGAGAGGACAGAACAGTGCATATGGGATGACAAGAAGAAAGAAACATGAACTTGTGATTGTGATACCCAGTGATCACCTCTCCTCTTCTCCAAGCTCCAGCTATTGATAAGCAGGTCTGATCCTCCAGTGCCTTTACATGCAAGTCCTTATTGGAGCATGTAATGAAGATAGAGCAGCTGGTGATGGACCTCTCTTGTAAAGCACCTCTGAGGGCTTGTGGAACAAAGAGTTGGGCTCTGACCAGCATTCCCTGACTGCAGAACTCTGGGTGACACTGCTCAGCTGTGACTGTGCTACTGGAACGCTGTTTTGCACTTTCTTACATGGGCATTTCCTTGAGTATTCCCCAAACCAGGTCTCAAATCCAGCAGTAAAAGCTTCTGGGGTGTACCTGCCACGGTAAATCGTGCAGTGGGTTGCTCTGACACCAACACTGCGTGGCTGTGAGCAGTGCCAGGGGTGCTGAGGTTGGTAGCAGGGCTCTGTATAGGCTGGCCTATTTACAGTGCATTTACACAACACACAACTCAGTGAGGGGTTCTCACACCACAGAGCCATAAAGCAGATGAGAAGATAAGAAAATTATATCCTGAAAGACAGAATTTGCTTTAGGGCTTTCCCACAAGTGATACAGGGTTAACACAGCCCAGTTTACATCAGCTCTGCACATTGAACACTGCTTATCCACATCCTCTGTGCTCACATTTGAACCCAAGACTTCAGCTTACCCATTCTGAAACATGCTTATAGAGGGAAATGCCTTCATGTCACGTTATCTGATACACCTGGAGAGAATAACTTATTTCTACATCGTAAGAAAACCTTGTTTATTCCCTATAGGTAACATTAAAGGAAAAGAAAAAAAACAAACCAAACTTCTTGGTGTTTATTTTACCAACTCCTGCAAAGACAGACAAAATATGAAAAGCTTGAAACGGTGTGTGGCTGGAATGCAGAACTAACAGAACTGAAGCAGAGGACAGTGATGAGGTGAGATAAGAAACAATGCCTGTGGTTTATCATCCTGCTCCCCACGGAGCTGGAGGAGTTCAGGTTCTGAAATGCTGCTGTCTGTGCACATTAGCACGACGAGACAGCTTGGTGTCAGCTCAGAGGTTACCTTAAGGAAAGAGATCTGAGACATTTAAAGTAATCTGGGAAATCCACAGCTCCCCAGCCACGAAAAGGGGTGCATAAACACGCCAAGACTCAATTATTAATGAAGAATGCAGTTTCATCAAGGAAGAAGCTGCTAGGAATTAAAAATATAACTTCAATAACATAAACTTTAGTTGGATAGAAAAAGAAACTTTCCCTGTGGTTAAGGCACAA